TACTTACTGTTTTGCACATGTTAAATATAATTAACATGAAATTTTGATTTGCAATTAAAGTCTCCATTCCAATGGTAACATAATTGTGAAGGCAAGGCATCATATCAACAAAATAATCGATTCCGTCATTTTGGAAAACCTGTACAATTAATACATAGTTAAGTTATGTAAGAATTAAACAAATCTACATTATTTTAAAATGTATTTAATATTGATTTAAGCTAAAATTTTAAGTAATAAGTCTTTAATTCCAAAATGTTGTATGAACACTTGTTATACACTTAAAAATATTAAAAAAAACTTACTGAATAAATTATTTCCAAAATTTTCCACATGTTCTCTGACACTTCAAGGTTGGTCAAGTCGCATACTAAGTTTAAGGCTTCTTCGTAGTATTCTACAACAAAATCAATTTGCTTAAAAAATGATATTTTATATTTGTCATTTATTTATTTACCAATACCAGATTCAGGTGTACTAAAAATATGTACTATGACTTCCAAAACAACTGGTTCAAGGGCTGCTAAGGTTTGCGGTTGCTCATCATTCACACTCAATATAGTTTCAATACAACTTAAAATACTCATACCAGTAATTTCTTTCTTATCATTCATATCATCTGACTGAAGGACTTGAAGGAAGGTTTTTGCCTAAATTAAAAAAAAAAAATAACATAACATTTAAGCAAGATAAAACTGAAGTTACCTATTTATCATTACTAGTTATATAGTATTTATAGTGATTCATTGTCGAAAATAAAAAAATTTTCTATGAAGTATTATTAAAACATAAGTATGTGTATTTAACATTTTATAAACTTACAAACATTAATTTGCTAATCTATTTCTTATCTACTTTAGAGAGTTGATAAACAGATTTAAGTTAATGAATAATGAGTTATTTATAACTAAGAGAGATCAACTTGGTATTTTATTTAAATTAATGTGGTAACTGCTAATACTAAAATATTAATAATGATTAAAATACAAACCAAATTCTGGCAGATATCATACATAATTGGTGCAAGTTTATCAAAATAAGTTGCAATAACTTTTTGCACAACACTAGTAATATCATCATTCTCTGTTTGTTGAAGTACTTTTAAAAGTTCGAGTGTAATTTCTTTAATCTGTGGAGAGAACAGCCACATTAAATAGCTACTTAATATTCAAATATATTTTTTCAAATTTACTATGTACATACTCTAGGCTCTAGAAGTTGTTCGACCTTGTTTTCAGCAATTAATAATGCTTGGATTGCAAGTCCAGCTTGAACCTTAACAGGAAGTTCTTTATCAGTTAATAAAGCATTAGAACATAGTGTTGCTAAATCCTTCCAAACATTATCATTACTAATTTTTATATCGCAGATGTGTTGTATAAACCAAGAAGCCTAAACAATAAGAAAATCACAAAAAATTACTTAACATGTATATAAAGCTTAAAAATAAAAATACATACTCTAGCTCTTAAGTGGCCGTGTGGACTTTGGAAAACCGGAAACACATGTTGATAAAGCATACTACCTACTTGATCCTTGTACATATCTTTTTTAAATATAACATCAGCTAACGCCCCAAGCTATGAAATAACCACAATTAATACAAAATGTTTAACTAATCTTCAACTGCAAAAAAAAAAAAAATTACCATATGAAGAGCTCCATCTTTTTGAGATGGAGTAGCATCATTTGAAGTAATAACACCAACAATGAATTGAACGGCTTTGGGTAAAATGTCTTTACGTTTTTTACATGCTGAATGCAATACTGTTTGACCAGCCATAACAGGAGATATTAAATCCTCAAAAATGTCTATTATAAAATTATATAGTTATTATTGTTAGTTAAAATAAATACATTTTAATTAACTAAAATGGTACCAAATTTCTGAGAAATATATTCCTGTGGATCAGATTCCCACAACTCTTGATCACATTCTGAATGACACATGAGAGGAAATATTACATCTTGGATAATTGCAGCAATATGTGGTTTAATCATTTTCCAGGTATGTCCAATACTAACACTGAAGTAAAAAAGTAAAATAATGATAAATATATTTTTTATGATATATTATTATACAAGTACTTACCATTGATTCAAATAGTGCATACACATTTGCATGACTCTAGGAGGGATATAAACTTTGTTTCGGTATTGATCTAATATTCTTAAAATTATTTCTATAACTCCAGAAGAAAAAGTCTTAACATAAAATATGGCAAATTGCTGATATTCTTGGGCAACGCTGCCAGGACTTCCATACCTTAAGTTTATAAAATAAGTATTAGACAAATATAATAATTAGTGTAATGATATTTTATATTTACCTCTCAAAAATTCTATACATAGTATGTAATGCCCATTTTTTAATCTTCCACCAAGGTAACTGGTCTATCTCACTGTGTTCACAACGACTCACTTCTTCTGGTACTGGATTGCATGCAATTATGCTTAACAATTCCATCCATTTGGTAAAGGTATTTCTTTCCATTAGATCGGGACTTATTGTGAACTGTAAAGTAATTAAGTCACATATTCAACATAGTGAAAAAAAAAATTCTATTTGATCAGGTAATTACTGAGCTTATTCTTACTTGTATAAGTTTGAAATAACTTTTTATTACAGTTTTCTGCAATGCAACAGATTCAGCAGTAGAATTACTAACTATAAGAACCATGACATTATATATGCCCGGTAGCAATACTTTGACTGCAGCGTGTATAGGCGATTTATCTGCCTTATGATATTCAAAGGCTTTTATTAAAGCTGAAAAACCAATTATACCAGCCATCCAATAAGATGAATTATCGCTTTTTAGATATACATCAATTTTTTCAACAACATTAGTCCAACGTCCAGGAAAATCATGCTTCATCATTGTTACCAAACATACAGTTAGCTGTGCTCTAAAATTGATACATTTTTTTAAGACATGTAAATTTAAATAGAATAGGAAGGGTCATTGTTACCTTAACAACTCTGGTACTTGAACTATAACATCTAAAATGGTATCTCTTATTATTATTCGATCTTGTTCATGAACTGTAAATTTATTTGGTTCATCTTCACGAGTTGCCCAACTCTGGTACATTAAATTTTTCAGATAAATAGCACCTTAAATTATGTTCACAAATAAATAAAACAATTTTTTGTACATTAGGGTTAAAAGTTTTTCATTATACTGCATAATACCAAAATATTCGAGTACTGTAAAAGTACTGAAGTATATTAAAAAAATCTGGTTTTTTTGGTTTAGATAATATAATAAATAGACGAAACATTAAAAGAGAAAAATTAGGATTTTCACCTAATATTGTGAGTTAGAATCTTTACGAGCATTGAAGTTACATATTTACATATTTCAGATTTCTTACTTGCTTGTCTAGTAGACATTTCAATATCAGAAGAAACAACAATTTGCAGTAGAGCTGGACCAAATCCAGCAATTTTGTGTATCTATAAATAAATAAAATGTAGTTAGGCAGGTTTATAAAGTTTACGTCTAAAATATGTTTTGTTCAAAATTTAGTTTTAAAATTATAGAAGCTACATTAGACAGTTTCAGTGTGATAAATAAAGTCAAAAGTTAAAGAACTGAAAATAGTATTCTACAAAATTATTGTTTACATTAATTGATATAAATTTGGTATCAACAGGTAGATTCTAGGGCAGAATAGAAAATGTATTTACAATACATTTTTATACTTTAAGTCAGTTATGGGATTAAAGTTAATCGAAGCAACAATAAATAAATGATAGGATCTTAAATTATCTCTTTAACTATTTATTTTTAAACATATCAAATATTTTGATTACAGTATCTATTTAAAATGAATCATTTAGTGTAATGCAAGGTATGCAATCGGTCATCCAGAGTCCACAGTATATAAAATGTCGGGTAGTTTTCAATTACAGTTAATATACACTATGTTGACTGAAGAGACATATGAAATATATTTGATTATGGTTTTATTTTTTTCCCCGTTTGCCGTCAATTGATCCAATCTACCGCCTAGCAAATTGCTCGTCATAATTAAACGCCTGTGACAATATTAACAATGATGTAATTGCACATGGTGTCAAAAACTTATTATAATGAACGATTGGCATCGTTGCACTTTGAGAAGACTACGACGAAACAACTGAGAGGGGCTCATGCCAAAGGCACAACGCACGAATGCGAAAAACGTGGCTGTCGGTGGGGTAGGGACGGGACCATGATCCCGGTTTTCCGTTTTGGCGGGTGGTTTCACCGGCCGAAAACGATTTTGATTCAGACGTATACATCGGAAAAACGAAAAAAAAAAATGTAAATGGCAAAAAAAATTCGCCACCGAACCGAACTCATAATAATTAGTGCGATAAAACACATAACCTTCAACCGAGTGCATGACGCATGTGGGTATACTATTATTATTATTATGGGTGCACGGGCCGGGTGCTGCCAAAAAGCATGCTTACACGCTGAAGCTGTTCCTCTGCCTCGCTCCTATGCGGCTGGTAGAGCGTGGCATTTAGCAGACTGGTGAGTTTTTCGAGGTCCATTGCGGCAGTGTCGATGGTGCTGCAGCTTTGAGCAACGGCGGCGGAGTCGTTTCCGAGTTCCGACTGACCGGGAACGTTGTTACGACGCGCACACGTAGCAAACTAAATTGGTATTCGGTATCGGTAAGGTATGCGCGCGCGGTGCGTGTGTGCGTACGTCTACGGTAGCGATGAGACTCGAGAGTTGAGTTGAGGGCCGAGGCGGCGACGGCTCAGTTGAGTCAGTTTGAACAAATCACGTGATGACAAAAATCGCATTCCATTATCCTGATCAACCCGACAACCGCCATAATGGAAATCGTTTTTGTTTAGTTTTTTATCAACAGTGCTTCCCAAAAATGAAAGAAAACAGAGATAGAATGGATCTCCGTGGCGGCCAAGGGGTCTTACGTGTGTCCTTATGTGGCCACACTGGACGAAGGTGATCTCGGCCAGTTATCACCTTGTGCCTTGTACATATGTTTTATCTTTTAACCAGGTACGTCCTATATAATGTCATAATATCATATTGGGCAAGAAATTAAATTTCTATAGGCGCATCCGTAATTCATATAATTTTTCCGGACATTCTTTCATTTTGCCGGTCACTCGACAGTCCACAGTCGACATTCACCGCGGACAGCCATCATCATGAGTTACTGGAGGGCCGCTGGATTGAAGTAATGATATATTTTACTTGTTTAAAGCCGTGTTAATAACCCATGCGCTGTGGTGTACTTTCTATATAGGTGTCGGAATGTAAGCTCCGCGACTTTTCGGTTCGAGTTTTCTAGGCCTTTCCATGTTAATAGCAAAATCGATTGTTTCTTGTTATGATTGTATTCTGTAGCTTCATCATTTCTAATTTTGACCCGCCTATATTTAGAATGTTTTTGTTTGCCCATGCACAGTTCTGCTGTATTCATATCAATTTCAATCTATGTATATGCTCAACATATTATAATATTTCTAGAATTATCAATCATGTGAACCACCAGACACGAGATATGTTTAATATTTGTGTGATTAATATCCAAACTGCTGTCGCGTTGCTGTATTCATTTAAAAGAATATTTTCGATATGAAAAAAATGCAAAATACAATATACAAGAACTATAGCGACCCATCTGCGGCATTTTCAACCACCACATTGGGGCTCAAACCACTCTCACACCTTGTCTGATTGATGAAGGGCGACTTGAACTTTTTGAGTCTTTGAAGCAAATTGTACATTTTTAATATTTTTACCACCAACCATGTACTTTATTACATCTAAAACTATGTTGAAGCTATGAAGCAATTTCTTCAAATAGTATTATATCCCGCCGCCACTGCTTGGTGGCGTAGGCCAATTATAGATGTCTTCATGAAACACCTACCAATAGTATTGTAATTTTTCTCACTTTTATCGAAGCTGTACATTAACAGACACAATAAATTTTTTTGTTTGATCATCATTGTGCCTCATGAGAACTTGCTCTGGAATTACCTTATGATAAATTATTGAATAATTACGGTTTAAATTATTTGCTTCTAGTTTTTTTTTTTTTTTATTGGCCTTTAGATATATATATTCAACTCTCAACACCGTGCGAAAGTCCACTCTTAACTTGTCTGTTAAATTAACTCCCCTTGTGATTTTAGCTATGTTAATTATTCCAACATCGCTGCAAAAGTTGTTAGGAGGGTGTTGAAACCAGAACTCCAAGCCAATGCAGCCAAACGCGATGAAACACATGTAAAATTCACTCCATGGGTCAAGGGAAAGCCATCCAGTAAGTATCTAATTAAATAACCTACATTTATTAATTAATTTTCAATATGTGATCTGAGAAGAACAAATCTAGTTGGTGACATCTCAAAATGTACCTAATTTTTCACTCTTGTATTTTAGTGTATTATATTTACTTATTTTAAATTACTTAAAGCATAAACATATACCTACTTTAAAATTAATGGTCAACAATTATTACTATCAATTATTTCAAAATCTAGTTAGTCTGATCCAAAAATCCAATCAAAATATTATAATGTTTAAACTGCTTCCACATAGATTTGAAATACATGTAAATATGTGATTGTTTACTGACATTAACTTTTGAACCAAAAAGAATGCAGAGATTTTGCAGATTTTCAATCGATCTATAAAAAAAAATTCCATTTCTTGTACCAGACTATTTTTTTAAATATTGTTTTGAACTAAGAATCAATAAGTAAATTTAAAAATACCTAGTATTTGAAGAAATATCTCATTTTATTAGATTTAATTATAAAATAGTAATTTCTTAATTTTATAAACTATATGTCTATACATAAAAATTCCAATATTTCAGATGAAAAAGCTTGAACTTATATAAATTAAACAATTGAAAAATTGTTATACATTTTTAGTAAGTTATAGTGTGTTTTCAATTTAGCAAGTATCAATTTTTGCATGATTGATTGTTTCAAAATATACTAAAAAAAAATTGATTTGTGTGCATTAATTATAATTTATACTATAGTTTGTTGTTTGTTTTGTTTATAATAGTCATGAAAAACAGTTAAATTTTTATTTGTTTAGTGTAAAATGTTTTAATTCAAATTTGAAGTTGAATGATTTTTAATAAATAGATTACAAATAACAAATATAATACTATGTATATTTGTAAATTTATTTATTTTTTATTCATTCTTTTTAGAGCCGGGCCAATAGTCGATTTAACAACAAAGACACATTCAAAGTTCCAAGTAAAATTCAATGCAATATGTTTTTTAGTTAAACTGAATGTGATTTATTTAATAAATAAACATACATATTATTTATGTCAGTTATGAATTTATAATTATGTATTATTCATTACAAATAGGTGTTTTTTTTTCCTATGTAGTAGAGCTGAAAAAAACTTTTTTAATAAAAATGTAAGATTATAAAATATTAAAATTGCGTTATGTCTATTTATTTATAATTATAATCATACTCATTTTTTCCATTAAATTGTATAGTTACCTTTTAAACAAAATTATTGTTCTGATCAATGTAGTGATTTTTATTTTGTTTTGTAGTAATATTTAACTGTGTTTCTTGGCATAATAATATTATGTTTATGATCTATTTTCAATGAAATTATTTAGAAATTTAATACATTTTGCTACTTAAGTAATGGAACCTAAGTTACATGATTAAAAGTAGGAAAAGTTTCAGGGACCCACAGCTATATTTTTATTTATTTTAATATCCAAAAACATTACTGGGCCTCACTGAGTTTAGAACTCATGTACATTTATATAATATATTTATTAACATATACATTTTAAGAAACAAATAAAATTTGTTAGGGACTGCAGACAATTATGATTTTTGAATCCAATCATTTATCATTTAATAATTTATACCAGGTACTGTAAATTATTTAAATACTTATTTAAAAAAATGTACATCTGGAATGTTAGCCAAATTACTATTATATATTTAAATTGAAAATGCACTCATAAAGAATTTGTTTTTTGTGACCTTTGTGGTTAATAACTGCTAAACAAATATATATAAATATATTTAATAAACCTTCCAATTCTTTATTTTCTTCTAAGATTATATGGTCATAGGTACAAATAGACCTCTAGAATGTGTGGGGCTATTATTGTAAATGCCTCACAATGCCATGAGGGGTTTTGCCTTCCACTCCCTGCTACTATTATTACATTGTCTCATAAGTTACAAGCCTACAATAATTGATATACTTGAAAACTTTTTAAAAACATTTTAAGACATTTTTACACTTCAATAATATATATACCTATAATACTCTTTTTATAAATAACTTTAAGATTTGAACAAAGAACATTATAAATATAAAATATATGAGGTTTTACCAGTAAAAAGTATTACACAGTCTACAGCGGAATAAACATATATATAGTGTTTTTTGATGTGGTCCATAATGGACCAGAAATTTGAGTGTGAGCAATCCACTTCTCTATAATGTGCATCGTCTTACAATTATAGAATTATTTAATTATTTAAAGCAAATTTAAGAGAACATCTCAAGTCTCACAACACACTCGTCCCACCCATCAGTTTTAAAATCAGCTATAACTAGTATTTTTTGTAAACATTTTACCTCGCAATTTGGGAATTTGCTTATATAATTAAGAGTTGACTGTATATTATTATAAGAAGCCTACACAAAAAGAACATATTTTATGTTTTTAAGTGATATAGCTGCAGCGTGTTAATTTATCTTTTTTAATTTGATATAAAATTTGACCAGGTATGTTGTAATAAGTTATGCAAAATTTGTAATTCGTTTTATTAATTCAACATGTTTGCAAATATCAATATGTGTGCATATTTTAAGTTGCAAGGTAGCTGCAGCATCAGTAGAAAAGCTCATATTGCAATATAGGCGCCATACACGTAGTATCCCAATACATGCCTATGTCAATTAGTATTTTAATATTAGTAAGGTAGTAACATATTAATGAACTGGAAGAACACAATAACACTCAGTGGCGTGTATCATAAAAAAAATAGGAGTTGCTCTAATTGTTGGTGACCTACCTCTCATTATACTGTTATACCGACCTATAAAATGCCCTATTTTTTTTTTATCAATACCCCACCCGGCACCCACCTATATTTAAGGTGTTGCCTCAGCAACACTTAGACCCTATGTTACACGCCACTGAATTAACACTTGAACAACTTAAAAGTTTGTTATCAATCATAAACTCTTTTTGCACAAATTTATACTTTCAGGTATACCTGTATCGAAAGAATATAAATATAACCTCAGAGCAAAATGTTATTTCTGTAAAAAATATAATCCTTGATGAATGCATATTAAATAAACAATATTATACTTTATTTTCTTTCTTTTTGGGCTCCTGCCCATTAAATATTCAATTCCAATAATAAACCGATAAATTATAAATATAAATAATAAAAACTATAGTAACAAATTTTTTTAAACAAATAAATATTTCATTAAGCAGGCATATAACAATAAATTAACTAAAAAATGCCTTGATAAATTACAGATTCAATTGTTTAATTTCAGAGTACCATCATCGTTCAATAAATGGTCATTAACACATCTTGGACCACTACCTAATTTAGTGATCATGATATACTTCAAAAGATCCTTATCTTTGGGTTTAAATCCATATGGTTTTACCTAAAACAAATAACAAAATCACAATAACAAAATTGATACATATCAAAATATGATCATTTTATTTCATTGAATTACAAACTTTATAAGGTAGTGTTGATTCGATTCCTCGTAAATATGAAGAATTAGGTTGATCAGATGGAAAAACATTAACCAATTCTGACATAAACAAACCCAAATCATTTTGTTGAATAAATAAAAAAGCATTTGGACCAGCATCAAATGTATAAGATACCTAAGATGGTAAAAAAAAACACTATAGTACACTTAAAATAACTTAATATGGGATAAATGAGGTTAAAAAAAGGCATGTACTTTAATTTTACCAACAGCTTCGTTATAATCATGAATAAAAGATATTATTTCATGTGATACTTGATTTAGATAAACACAAGGAGGATATGTATCCAAACAAACTGCATGAAATTGGTTACTGTCTCGCATTGTAATTTCAGCAAATTTTTCAAAGTTTTTATCAGTTATGGCCTGAACAAAAAATATAACATTTATACATTTATAATAAAGTGTATCAGAAATAATTTTACTTGAATGATTTCTTTTGTTCTTTCAGGTACACACTTTTGAATTCTGTATTTAAGTAATTCACTAGTTTTTACTGATTGTCTCATTCCCGAAGTACTACTTGTTTTTTTTTGAGAATCATTTACCTATCCAAAATAATTAGAAATATGAATTATAATTGTTGAAAAGAGTTTAAATACTAGTTGTTTGTGCTACACTAATGTTGAAACAATAATACACCACTGAATTCAAAAACTATTCTATGTAAAGTTCAAACTGTGTTTACCTTAGCACTAGGTTTGATTTTATAACTACTGACAGAACAATTTTAAATTTATTATAATTTTAACATAGTTAAAATAATTATAATACTTTTAAAATTTTACATTGATTTTTTATTACAACTCAAATATTTAAGAAAAATAATTTAAAAACATTGTTAAATTAATATGCATAAAAATCTATTTTACCACTAGTATGATAATTCTCATTTCTGGCCAGTGTGTATCAGCAGCAATTTGAACTGCAGTTGAATCTGAACCTAGGTCATCAATACCAGCTTTCCAATGAACAAATCCTCCATAAATACTTCTACATGCACTTCCACTACCTTGTCTTGCTATAGATGGTAAATCTTCATCAACCAATCCAAAAGCATTAGCTAATGTATATACTGTTGAAAATAATCAATACAATTAGAAATATTTTAAAGTGCAGTTATGATTTTTGAAAATGTACAAACCAAGACAAGCATAACCAGCTGCTGATGACGCTAGTCCTGCTGCAGTAGGAAAATTATTTTCCGAACAGACCCTTATATTCCATTTTGCTTCTTGATTATTAACACCTTTACGTAATTTGATTAAATTTCTTACTGAAAAAAAAAAAACCATTAACTTTGCATCTTATTTTTCGTAAATGCCTAGAAAGAAAACTATTAACCATGTTAGTATTTACAAATAATATTTATATATTACTATTTGTTAAAAATACTGAAGGCTACTTTTCAAAAATATAATACTTCTATTATGGTAGGTAATATTATATAATATTTTGATTAAAAAAAATAAATTTTAGTCTTACAAGCAAACAATACAAAATATTATATTAATGGATAAATCAAATTTAAAAGATTATAAAAATACCAGGGTATTGACACAATTAGACTAATAAATAAAAAAAATAATTTAAAAGATAGCCTAAAAATTAAATTTCAATTATGTTTTAATTAATGTAAATGAAATAGAGTCTTACTTAGATCAAAGCACTTTTTCAAACGTTCGTTTGTTTCGATGGACATAATCCTGTAATTATATCATAATTTGGTTAAGGATGAAACATTCAAATAATATTTTAATACATTGTACATAATAATTTATGCTATAAAAATAAATATGGTACCTAGTTAGAAGTATTTAAAATTCATATCCTGTTTTGATAAATTATTACTATTATGATTTACTTATATTTTTACAACAACTTTAATGCTATACACTTAATTACTATAATTACACAAATAAAAAATATGAACAATTGACATTTATACATAAATAATTATTGAATATTAGTTACTAGTGTCATATTTTTTCAAATTCAATAGAGTAATTAATAAAAAAATAAAAAATGTATTGAAAGTTTCTCATAGTTAACTAAATATATATATGACTAATGATCAAATGACAACTATTAATTATAAGATTAAGCAATTTTGTAGTTACTTTTTAATAGAAGAAAATATAATAACTCATAACTCATAAATTACATCTATTAAATGTTTTATTAGCTTCACATATTTATATTTATTTAGATATAAACACATAAGTACAATGTTCAAAATATATATTATATAATTTATTTAATATTTATTATTGAATAACTGCATATCATGAATCAGGTACATGTAGATTAATGCAAATATTTGAATAAAATATATTTTAAATTATATAAGGTAGATACAATTGTACATAATAATCAATCACATAATTCAATATTACTTAATCTGAATACAATTATTAATGGAGTTAATTAATGTTAATATTATGGGAAATATAAGTAAATATTGTTTCATCTAAAATATTTTACAATATTGTATAATAAAAATATATATTTGATTGGTAGTTAAAAATATAATTGCGTTCAGATTTGAAAAATAAATCTAGTTTATGGATTGGAAATATTTATTATGCTACAGTTCAGGTAAGTTAATATTTTAGTAGCAGGAAATATAGTGATCCAACAAATGAAAATATAGGTAATGGAATAAAAATAAAAATACCTGTATAAAAGCAAAATAATATTCTATTGTTATGATAATCATACTTTATATTATAATATTATCACACATTATATTTTAAGTCAAAGGGTATCTATCAATAGAAGAAGTATATCTTATAAGTGAATCTAGAGTCAGACCAGTAGCGGATCAATGTAATTTTAAGGATCTATTGTTATTAAATATGACGAGTTAAACACGTCACAGGCCTTAATTTAGAAATTAGTACACACATAAAAAAATCAAGTCACTTACTGCCCATTTAGCCAAACACTGTCTTCATCGATCATCGGTCCTGCGAGAACAGATGTCTTGGCGTGCATCTATAAAAAAAAGTTACTGTGTTATAGCTTATTCTACTTGAAATAAAGTATAACAATGTTGAGAGAATGGCCCACATTTTCTTCCTTGATGCAGTGGCGGCTCATGAAGTTTAGATAAGGTGGATTACAAAAAATGTATAAGATATATATATTATTCTGTTTTTATATTAAAATGTCAGTATAGTAATTATTAGTTGACTTGAGAGCACACTGGCAGCAATTGATGGCCAATGTACTCTGGTATGCTACCATTTGATGACTGATGCAGCATCGCAGCACAATAAAAATAGGTCTTGTACACACATTAAATGTGATCCAAACAACCATTTATTTCTAAACGAAGTGTGCATGTGTGTAGCTAATATTTAAACGGCTGCCCAGAACACAACAAATGTATGCTTCGCAAATTATTTTATTGTAAATAGATACTTCTCAACACAAAATGCTTCAAAAACTTTTTTTTACTAATATTTTTTGTCCGTTACAACTAACTATAATTTACTAAAGGAATCTAATAACTTTTTTAATAATTTCTTGGGTAGTCTCAGTGCCCCTGCGTACCATAAAACTAGCCAAGACTACTCTGATATATATTTAAGTATTTCAAAACAAAACTATTTTTATGAATTATAAACAATATTTTAATATATCTGTCTTATGATAGAATTATTGCTTAAAGGTATTTTCTAGCAATAGATAAATAATTATTTCTCAATACATATCTTTTCAGTATTGTATAATATTTTAGTCCTTGGTCAAATATTCAAATGGAGAGCAGAAACAATTATTTGCTATAAAAATTTAATGTACTAAATAATTTTGTCCATAGATAAAGGTTTGTATGATAATTCGAAACATTTCTTTTCAGTAAATTTGGAAAAAGAAAGGTATTATTGTTTCATTATGTGATCGCAAATACTAATCCAACTGTTCTATATACACGGATACAAGTGTTAAACTCACTTGGTCACAGTCCAATGTCAGACTGACCGAATCGTTTAGAGGCAATATCAAATGTTCGTCTCTCTTGCCCCCTGAAAACAGAAAAATTAAGAATATAATATTTTGGATTGAAGGCGGGAAACTGCGGAAAAGCGCGGGAACTCACAGTATTTAATAGTGGCTATGTTGACGGGTGCCACGCACGTCACGACCTTATCCATATTAATTCGAACGGAATGAAAACCGACGACGATGAATCTCTGTGGAGCGTTCGGCGAAGTCAAGAAGACGTTTTGAAAATTGGTGAGCCACGTAGCTGTTCGTCTGAAAAGTCGACGTAGTATTGGACAGCCGTGCGGCAACTAACGGTCGAGCACGTCGGTCCGGTCGTACTTATACTACGAACTACGTGTACGGTGACCGGCAGACGATGGTGAGGTGTGCAGGTGTTGGGTGATAATAAGTAGTAACTAGTAAAGTAGTAACCAATATATGGCAATAACCATGTAAACCGTGAAGTGAGGTGGCGAGCGGCAAGCGCCGTAGTCCTCATTCCACAGTCCACACTCGTCGCGCGTTAGCGCTATCGGCAGCCCGCCGCCCGTCCATTCCGGCGTTCACGCTTCCCTGGTACGGTCGCCGGTCGGCAAGCAGTTCGCTTGCAGAGAATACGGCGGTCTGCGGACCAATGGTCGAAGGCAGGCCGGTCTCAGAGATTGACCTTGGACGGGTCGCGCAGAGGCGCACACATGGTGTGGGCCCACAATTTATTATCACAGAGTAAATACTCTTTGTTTACGTCACCTTCGCACCGTGTGCGCCGCCCGGATGGCTGATGATAAATTGATAACATCAGCTCCAGCTGAAACTCTAAAAGTATTTTTTACTAGGAAGTTTTTTTTTCTACTATTATTATTTTTTTAACGATGAATCACTAAACGTATTTGTTTGTTTGTTATATGATATACTTGTCTATGACAGTATTTAACGATTGTAACGCACAAAACATTAAACAATTATCTCGATACATGGTGCGTAATGTTGTACTATATGCACACACACACGAACATCCAATATTTCTCGTAAACCAGATATACACATTACACACGCACACGCGCGCGCGATTAATCGTTTTCCGCATTTAATAATATGTATTTTTATTGTTGTTGACGTAAATAATATTGAACACGCACACACGAGCGGGCGGTCGGTACTCTGCAGCGTTAATGGCGCACTCGACTCGAGTCGGTTCCGACGGCGTCAATAATGTTTTTTGACTTGAACTGCGGCGATCGCTGCTCATTGCAAAAGAATCGATTTCAATAATATTTTTTAATCATTGACAACCGTCGCAGACACGCAGTGTGCCGTGCACCGGAGTTCGGAGATCGTCCGCACGACTGTACCTGAACAATAATAATTCCGACGGTTTAGCTACAATAACAAAAGTGACGATTTTTTGGATTTTATTTTACGTATCCCTCCTCCCACCGTTGTTGTAATTATCATCGCCGTTTTCATGGGTGCCTTCCACTGCAAATCGTGTCAGAACGGCGAGAATGTGACGAACATATTCGGTCAGGATAGCGGTGAACGAAGACGGTTTATATTTGGCAGGCGTCGTAGCCGCAGCGGTTCGGTCAGACAGACCGATTCGCTTGTACTTCAGACATTGAGCATCATCAAGAACTTGGGACTTATTGAAAAGTAAGGAATTCTGACAAAAGCTAGGTTTGTGTTGAGCAATTTATTACACTATATTATCCATTTCATCACTAAATACTGTTTTTTCTATTTTCGCATAATAGACTATTATATATTATAGTATACTACCTTATTATATTATACATATAAATCTATATAAATTATTAAAGGTTCTTTAAAACATGAATTTATTGAAAAATCCTGAAAACCTATTAATTAATTTTAATAATTAAGTAGGTACCTACTTCATATTATATATCTGTTTTTTTTTCAGTGTCTATCTACCATGTATTTATTGTGTTACTGTGTAACAATTTGACAATTTTTATAATTTTAACAACAATAAAACTAAAATAGGTACTTAACTAAGTAATAAATTATGAGATGTACCCCTAAGTACTTACAGATGTATAATTTAACTGCACAAATTCTATTCCAGATTAAATGGAAGCCATGATAATCACAGTATTACAGCCCTTATAAATTGTATTCATACCAGATTTCCTAGGTATACAATAATTTTTAATTACCTACTGTACAGCAAGGGTAATTTATGTTATATTATTACATTTTAATTTTGTTACATCAATAGAATGTTATATAGACACCTCAATAGATAATTATTATTTATTACAAATCTATTGTTAATCCATTGTTACTCAACAAAATAGGAGAATATAAAAACTAATTATACAGACTGATTTTTATAAATATGTATATCAAAAAAAAATTTAATTATCCACAAAATCCAGAGACTTCAACTATACCTAAATAAAAAAAACACTAAAAAACATTGTCATGTATCTGGTCTGCCATGTCCCAGCTGTATTTTAAAATAATCCAGTAGGTATCTGCCTAATTTTTTAAAAAAAATTTACTAAAAAATGATTTTAAATTTATATCAACTACAAATAATAAATTGTACACATTTTTCATTTGAAATGTTATTAAACCTATACGATACTAAAAAAAAATCACTTATCAATATTAATTATTATATGTATAAAATGCCCTGTGATAACCACAAGTTTTTTTGTAGGTTTTATTAAAAAATAATTAATGTTTCTCCATTTTTTTTTATAAGTAACCTTCTTAACCTAACCTTTATTGAATTAATTTTTTTCTTGCAATAATATTCTCAATGAATACCGTATTTTATTCCATTAGCTTGCTATTCATTCTGTAATTATTAAAGTTACAGTATATATTTTAATCGTATTTAATACCCATGATATTTCCAAACAAACAAAAAAATATATATTTGTCCATCAAAATAATTATACTTTGATATCAATTTAAGTAGTGTCTTAATTCTCATTTTATTCACCAAGGCTTTGTGGAATTGGTTGTACTGTTTTATAATTATTCTAAGTAATAATTTTATTACAAATATGAAATTTTAGGTAGGTACCTAAATTGATAAATAATTATCACCTTTTTACTTATCTAATTTATTTCTATTATTACATGTTTTAATTGTTTAAAGTAAATTTATGATAAATATGTTAGCAGACCTAAATATTCATTCGATCAAAGACATACTGAGTACATTAATTGAGATTTTATTTTGAGTTATGATCAACATTTTTCCGTAGGAATGTAGGATATTAGTTTCTTTACTAGCTACAAAACAATTACCTAACTTGTTTTTTTAAATCACACTTCATGGAATTTAATGAGATTAAAAATCTGTTTCTAAATGTATACAATATAATTTGTACATTTAAATTATTATTTTATAATATTTTATTTTAGATTGTCCTCTTAACATAACAAATATGGTGTGCTTTATTTTGTTTCATGAATAAGTGTTTTTCATAAAGTTCAAACATTAATTATACCTATTATCTAAAATGTATTTTTAATTTCTGTTAATAGGTAATGTCTTGATAAATGTATAATTTGAATACTTTGAAGAAATTAAAAAGTATACTTATGTTAAAAAAATGTTGATTAGTTACTTCAATTAGTTAAAACAAAACCTATTTCTATCAAATAATCGAAAAATATTGTCATTAATATGTTCTGATTTCCGTTATAAAATGGTTCTCAACATTTTTAAAATGCTTAACTATTTACCCCAGAGCACAGCAATCAACCGATATACCAAACGCCTTTCTTCTTTCATGAATTATTCAATATCATTAATTAACTCCAACTAGATCTGCCACCTGTCCAGGCTTAACCCGGATACTCTGCTTTTACATATAAAACTACTAGATACAGATACATAAACTATTTCACTATCCACCTTTTTACCTCATTAACTCATGAGTATAGGTGTATTAGCAGTGTGGAGTAGATTAGTATGGAGTAGTAGTGTTCAAACAGATCCTCCTCTGCTGTCGGTTTAAACGGAAAAAAAAAGATGTATTAGCGTGTTTTGATGATGATTTTTTAAAATTTATTGGGCCTGCCTCCGAGTCTGCCATCTTTGAAAGGTGGCAGCCATTACCCCAATCCATGTTTTCGCTAATCTGTTACTATCTTTGAAAAACTTGGTTTGAAATAATCAGATATCCTAGCAGCAAATTGGCATCATTAAACATAACCAAATCAAAATACGTTGTAGTCCAAGTAAAAGTGTTTACTTTGAAAATTCAAAAGCTAAATTGTTAAAACCGCCTTTACCTAATCTTTGCTTTTGACCATTCAAATAGGTGACCAAGCGCAACTTGTATAAATAATAAATATCTTCATATTTAAAAACAACAACCTGGGGCTATTTAGGGGACTCTGTAAAGGTATTTTTCTATTTTAATTTATTAATCAAATCTACCTAATTATTTCCCTTATTTTAAATATATGAAAAAAAAAAATTTGTTGTTTTTATAATTATATATAATAGAAAAATATAACGGTTTAAGCTTGAGTAAATTCAATAAGTTCTCATTTTTGCATAAAATTAATCTAAAACTTGATGAAAATTTTTATCATATACATAGAATAATTTAACCAAAATTTTATTTTCAGTGGTACTGAAGCTCCAGAAGCATTGCGAAAATTACATTGGGTTGCAGATGATGGTGATGGTTGGATTCAAGTAGTATTGTCTATGATTCATGTCATTCCCCTTGATGATCCACTAAGTCCAGCTCTTATAACTGTTATTCTTGACGATTGCCCTCTACCCGACAAAGTAAATATAATTATTGCATTTTTTAAATTCCATTTATAATTATGTTAATTTTGTTTGAGATAATGTTATAATCAATGTTATTTTTAAACAATTTTATTTTAGGACACTGTAATGAAATTATCACAAATGTTAGATTTGTCAAATAAAACTCCTAAACGTAAAACAGTTGACCAACATCGTAACATTTGTGTAATATTAGGTATACTTGCTGACAAGTTACCTGGACCTTTAAGTATTGCTTTATTAACTAAAGATACATTGACTTATTTATTTAATAACATGGTGAGTCATGAGTAGTACACTCACATCTTTATTTGCACGTAGAAAGAATTTTGAAATATCTAATATTTTTCAGGATTTGCAAGTACATCCATCAATTATATTATTTTCATTAATTGCACTTGAAAAATTCGCACAAATAAGTAAGTGTTTCTGCTTTAATTTACTGTTACTTTAATTTATAAATGTTACGTTTGCATTTTTAGGAGAGAACAGATTTACAATTGAAACTTTTATGAAGACTGGACCTTTAGCAATGTTGTCAATATTTGAAAGGTTGACAGGTTCTGATCAACCATTTTATGCTCAAGTTGGGTTTTGTGCTGAATGGCTACTAGATAACATATGTAATACACTGTTTTAATGTTTATATTAATTTTAGTGAAATAATATCTTATAATGATTTTTAATTAGTTGTGGATGATCAAAGAACATCATCATATTTAAATATTTCAATGGAAGGTGTGAATGCCATATTAAACCAAGAAGATGCTAGCGAGTATTTAAAACTGGGTCCTTCTGGTTTAGAAGTATAAACAACACTCTAAATAACCATATATAACCTACACAACCTCATACATTTTTTTTAACTAGGCTAGATGTGATGCTTGTAGTTTTGAAAGTGTTCGTTGTACATTCCAAATTGACAAAGGCACTTGGTACTATGAAGTTACAATATTAACATCAGGTGTCATGCAAATTGGATGGTCGACTAGAAATTCAAAATTTGTTAATCATGTAAATATTTACATTTTCGTTAATATTTTTTATCACATGTTTCATTGAATTTACATAAACAAATCATTTTAGGAAGGATATGGCATAGGTGATGATGAATATTCAGTAGCCTACGATGGCTGCAGACAACTAGTGTGGCATGGTGCCCGTTGCACCAGTTGTGTGTCTGGAAGGCCATGGCGAGAAGGAGACACAGTTGGTTGCTTATTACAAGTGGAAAAACCATCTCCAACTGCAACGTTTTACCTAAATGGTCAAATTGTTGCGTTTAATGACAAAATATTTCAATATGCTAAGTATGAAAAAAACTCTTCTCTATATTAATTGCATTTAAAAATGTTTGAAATCTACAAATATAGGACAGAGTTTTTTGCTGCTGCAAGTTTTATGACATTCCAACAAAGTCGTTTTAACTTTGGTAGCAAACCATTCAAATATCCACCGAAAGGTGTAAAGTTCAGTATCATGAATGACCATGGGATATTGGATGAAAAAGAAAAAACAATCTTACCAAAGTAAATATTTAAATCAGAAAAAAAGTATGAAATTAATGATTTTTCTTTTCAGACAAATGAGACTGGGGTTATTAGGTTTGTTGGGCAAGCAGACAGCTGATGAAGATTCGTGTACAATTTGTTTTGATCATAAAGCTGATGTTATGTTATACCCCTGTAAACATGAGTAAGTAAATTACAATTCAAAATTTTGATACTCTCCACACATTTCTTGTTCAATTCATCTTAAAATAATGCTTACTAAAAAATTAACTATTAGTTCAATGTTTATTATATATACTAGGCTTGCAAGCTCTGAATTTAAAATGTTCATAACTCATTATTAAGTCGGAATATAAAAACAAAACACTATAAAACAATATCAACATCCCTGTTGCAGCCTTTATTTTTCTTAATATTTGGGCAAGATTTCAAACTAAATACAATTTACAATGAAGCCAAATGCTTTTATTAAAGATTTCACAACCACCTAAATTCTCAATTCATACTATTACCCTAATCTAAAAGCTTGGCATCTAATACAAATAGCAATAATTCATTAATTTTTACAAGTTGTATGTATTTTTCTATTCTTTGTTTCAGAGGTTATTGTGAAAACTGTGCTCAGCAGCTAACACTTTGTCCAGTTTGTCGACAATTAATCGACAGGTTTCAGGTAAGCATTCCTACAACAACAGCTACAGCAATAGTCCTAGTCAGTTAGTCATGATGTGATCTCTTCCATTTTTTTTACAAATTATTATATACGGTTATGTACATTTATATAAGGTGGCACAACGCTTGTTTTCCTGTTTTCACTTAATTTACAGTGACATGGGAAAACAGTGGGTTACCCTGTATACATATACATAAAATATTCTTTTATATTGTAAGTCTTTATAAACTTTGTGTATATTAAACAGATAAAACGATGTCTTAAAAATTAAATCCTTTCAATTGAATCAATATATATTTCTCTATTCAATAATTCCCAATTTTTAGCTTAGTTGTTGACTGTATGGCTTATCATTTGGGAGACCATAACTTAGTAAAAGGAAAAAACCATTCAAAAGGCACATAGATTGGCTAACAATAAAAACATTAAAATAGTATATTGAAAAAATAAAATGTTATTCATCTGAATATATATATATATATCTCAATTAATATTATAATAATAACAATAAAAATAATAATAAATATTTTTTATAAATAATAATCTTATTAAGTTTATTTTTCATATGCATTATTGTGGCACAGCCATTTTTGGATAAAATTTATTGTGAATAACTGTTGCTGTAAAATTAAAAGTATATAAAAGTGGTCGCACATGTAAATTAATATTAACTAATTGGCACTGATACCAAAGCCCCGATTGCTATCAGCAAAGTAACGAACATCTCTGTCCTCATCTCTTCTTAATCTTGTCAAGGTTTCAGTAAGTACATTATGTTGTGGGTTTTGTAAATCCATAAACACCGCTGAAATAATATATATAAAATTAGTTTTCCAAATATATTTCTTTTTGTTACACTTACAGTTGTTAGCAACTTGTGTATAGAGAGTCTTGGCTACCATCAATCGAACATTTGGTACACGGTCAGAACCCAAGTTTAGCAAACAAGGCATTAACTCGTTATTAAAATCTATCGTAGATAGACATCGATCACCGTAGTTCAATATGTATGAGCATATTTGGGCAAACATTTGACGTCTACTCCACAAGTCTGCTCGTCCAAAACGTGTAACTAGTTCATTCAACATCAATCGTTTTAGACTAAGATTTTTATTAAGTACCACCAATAATTCAGGAACCTAGAAACAGAAATACAGTCAACTAATTTGGTCTTTAAAATTGTTTAAATGTTAAAATTTTTTATAATTACCAGCGACAAAGCAGACTGACGCACAGATGATATTCTGTCCATGAGTAAGGACAAACACACCTCGTGTATATGATGGTACATATCAAGCGGCGTAAATAAGTGTAAAGACTCGGCTAATTGTTCGCAGAAGTTTTGTCGAAAACGCCAGTTCCATTCATAATCAGTTTTCAAAAATCGGCACATCATAGGTGCCAAATCACTACGTACAGTCACTGATAACATCTAACATAATACAGTATAAATATTAATAATTTTCTTTCGTTTAGCAGTATCCATTTATAAAATTGAGAAAAAATGTTGATAAATAATTGCAAGATAATTTTTATATAGTTAACTCACATATTTTAACATTATAATAATTATACGTTTAATATTCATCAACAGTATAATCAGATAAAGTTTAGGTTGAGGTTCATCACTAAGGTATCAGATGAAACACGGACCATAAGTTTTTCATCATTTTATAAGTTAAAAATAATTATAGATTAGAATTGTGAACATATAAAAACAACTGATCTTTAGCAATTAAAATATTTATTACAGAAATAGTTTAGAAAGTATTCATCCCACTAAGGTATTACAAGAAACAGACCCTATAATTTTTGTCAGATTTAATAAATATTTGTAATAAATCAATTTTTTCTTCAGGAAACAAATACAGTAGAGTCTCTAATCCGGACAATCTATATTTCGTACTCTTAAGTACTCATGTTTATGTGTATATTCGGTAATACCCATGATTACATGTAGATTGTGTTTTAATATTTTTTCAAGTGAGTTTAGTCTTATAAGTTTGTATTGATATATGTACATATATAATACATTTATCACAATAATAAAAATGATGATGTGTAATGTAAAATTGTAAATCAATAAATTTTGAAGTTGTATAAATACATACGGTGTTTTTTGTTTATATTTAATAGTCAGTTTAAAAGAACGTCATTCCGTTTAATCCGGATAGTCTGGTCCCATCTAGTCCGGATTAGCGAGACTACTGTAAATAAAAGTAGTAAAAAATATAAATTTATTTAAGTCAGATATAATTTAGGTTGTGGTGCATCACTCGGGTGTCAGATGAAACACGGACCATAAGTTTTTCATCATATTTAAAAGATATTTTGGTATATCAACATTCAACATGGTATTAAAAATTATTCATTTTAATTACATCAGATATAATTTAGGTTAAGGTGCATCACTCGGGTATCAGATGAAACACGGACCATACATTTATCATCATATTTAAAAGATATTTTGTAATAAATACATTTTTTCATCATAAGACAAATAAATAAATGTGGTAGAAAATATTTATCAGATTCAAGTTAGGTAGAAGTTCATCACTCAGGTGTCAGATGAAACATGGACCATAAGTTTTTCATCATATTTAAAAGATATTTTGGTATACCAACATGGTATTAAAAATTATTCATTTTAATTACATCAGATATAATTTAGGTTGAGGTGCATCACTCGGGTATCAGATGAAACACGGACCATACATTTATCATCATATTTAAAAGATATTTTGTAATAAATACATTTTTTCATCATAAGACAAATAAATAAATGTGGTAGAAAATATTTATCAGATTCAAGTTAGGTAGAAGTTCATCACTCAGGTATCAGATGAAACACGGACCATAAGTTTTTCATCATATCAAAAATTAAATATAAGAATTGTGACTAATTAAAATAACATGACCTTTCAGTTTTCAAATATTCAACTCTATAATTGTTTGGAGAAAAGTCATTACCGTGGTGAATCGGATGATGCAATATTTTAATTTTATATAATATACTATGCATAGTTATTCATTTTTAAATCTACATAAATTATCAAGTTTTGAGAAAATATTTTATAAGGAAATTTTAAAAGAAACATTGTAGAAGACACTATTTTGCAGAATTATTTGCTAAGTTTATACATTTTTAATTTTGTATTTTAAAGCAAAATATTGTCCAATGTTTCTATACATAAAAAAGTAGTATCTTAACAGTACTTGTCTAGAGTACCACGTCATTGAATAAGTCAGTGTAATGTATATGTTAATTTGAATTCAATGAGAAATATCATTATGAACAAAAAACAATTCCGAGTGAAGACATTTTGTACGCCACCAATATTACTAAATATATGGTATGATATATTGATATTGCTATAGAGATATTTATTCTACAATAAGTCATACTGTAGGTTGATTTAAAGTTGCCCTAAGATAATTGCATTTGGAAATCCATTGTGTACAAAATATAATTAAAAATTTGAGAAAGAAACGAAGGTGACAAACAGTGAACAACGTCAGCCAATACCCGTTCTTACTCACACTCAGTCAATTATCTTAATACCTGCTGTGTAGTAATGTAGCCATACCCCTAAGCACAAGTCGGCCGCTGACTATATTTTTTTAGCTTAAGGGTTCAGGCACCCACAAATAATTTTCTTAGTTCGAACTTAAATCAAAGAGGCCCTCAGGGTTCGTAACTCGCATCATTTAAGCTTAAAAATACTGATAACCAGTGCTCAAAAGTTCATACATTTATATGTTTATATTTGAAATGTATGAAAACATGCTAAGTGAGGTACAAATTCATCTCATAATAATAGTAAAACAATTATTAAGTTTAATTGTGCATACTTTGAGTGTTTTAACATAAGATAGATTTTCTGAATTATTAGAGCAAAATTAATTCACAATAACTTAATTTGGACTATCGCTTATGTTTATTTTTATTCTTGTATTACTACTTTAATAGTTTTAGGCAATTACCATAAATCATGATAATATTAAGTCATACAAAATTTATTTTTAATTGTTGTACTGCTCATTTTTCAAGTCTATAGTTATAGATTTAAGGTAAATATAAAAGCATATTTCAGAAACTTTTAGTACATATTTTGCCAGTTTTTTTGTATATTAATGGATGTTTGACGTATTTTTTAGTACATGAACTAATTGCCCAGCTTATACAACCAATAAATTATTTGACAAACATTTTTTCCAAAAAAAATATTCTGCTCAAATATGAAATTAAAATTATTTGTACATAAAGTACACAACAGTAAATAACTTAAAAATTAAGAAAGTACAAAAAAATTGTGAAAAAATATTAATGTATGGTGATAGATATCAAATTGTTTGAAACAACCAATATTCCACCTACCTTCCAACATTATTTTTACCTTGAGAAAAGCTGCAAAATTGTCTATAGCACCAGACCGTACTTCATCCAAATCCAATACAAGAGACTCAAATATTGGTAAGAGATCTCTGGACGTAGCTTCTTCACCAATGTAAATAGCCAATTTATGTATATAAGATGCAGCCTTTCTTCGAACTTTCCACTAAAATTTAAAATTAATATTATGATTTGAAATTACTGAACAAACTTACAATCAACATACAGATCTGTGTGAAGCTAAAACATAGTAAGTATGTCGGAGCAATGGCCAGTGAGTAGGACCTATAGTAACAAGCACGGCGGGTAACATACATGCACATTGAGATGCAAGATCACTGTCATCAAATGCACCAGCCATGTCAGCATAATGATCAAGTAGTAATGTAGGTACAACTAGATCACGGCCATTGTGTTCAGTAGTTGAAGGTTTAGAATCTCCATTATTACTTTCCTCTAAAATCGGTTTTACTTCAAACTCGGATTTTTTCATTTCAGTGCAATTTAAATTAGCTAAAAAAAAAAAAAAATTGTTTAAAATAAATACAATCCTAACAGTTCATAAAAGTTAGGCAACTTACAATTGTTATTCATTGGCACATACCATAACTTATTTGGTATCATGGTTTGAAGTCGTTCAACTTCAGATTCCCTATCATCACAATCATTCTGCAAGTAAAAATAAGTTTAGCAAAAGTATTGAATAACAAGAAAATATTAGTATTTACTTCAAAACTAAAAGATGATTTTGTATCACAGATGGGTTCTCTCCAATATGCAAAAGTGCTATATAATTCTTCAGATTCAGTCTTAACATTATAATCAGCAACCCAAAATCTAAAAAATAAAATATTATATATTAGTTAAAACAAAATTATAACTTATAATGTTGGTTTCGATTCAGTTATTGTTAATAGAAATTAAGTAATAGTGAATAATATTAATTTAGTATTAAGACAAATCTATTAGAAAATTTTCATAAGTTTATCAATTAGAGTACCAAAACAAGCAAATAAGCTAAAATTCATAACTAATTAATTAAATATAATGAGAATCAATTTTTTTCAATATAATTTTAATGTATCAATATGGTTTCAATTCACCTTTCATGGCTGAAAAGTAATTGTGAATAATATTGATATAAAATTTAGTATAAGCCTATTAGAAAACTTGCACTACCTAATTATTAAGGTACCAAGACAAGCAAAAAGGCTAAATGCATAATCAAGTAATTAAAAATAAAATGTTAAATTAATATCCATTAAATATATCGATATGGTTTCAATTCACCTTTCATGGATGAAAAGTAATTGTGAATAATAGCGATTCAATATTTAGTATAAGCCTATTAGAAAACTTGCACTACCTTATCATTCAGGTACCAAGACAAGCAAAAAGGCTAAATGCATAATCAAGTAATTAAAAATAAAATGTTAAATTAATTTTCATTAAATATATCGATATGGTTTCAATTCACCTTTCATGGATGAAAAGTAATTGTGAATAATAGCGATTCAATATTTACTCTAAGCCTATTAGAAAACTTGTATTACCCAAACATTGAGGTACCAAGACAAGCAAATTGGCTACAATTCTAAACTAAGTACTTAAATATTAGGTTATTCCCTTTTAATATTATAATTTTTTATTGATAAAATGTAATAGAGAATTAATATTCTGTAAAATTTAGAAAACCTCCATTCCCTGAATGAAAGTATAAATAGTAATATGCATTAAAATAAGATGTTAAACCATATCAAGTTTTTAAGAATATAAATAATAGATATCAAAAAGCAACTACTATAATCATACTACATAAAATATATAAATCTTAATTTATTACTTATTATCATTTTTCATTGTTGTTTCATTTGACCAGGGTTTTTCTCGATCCATCAACAATTCTGTAGCTTTAAAATATTCTTGACTTGTTTGACATTTCATACTAGAAATTTATTGTAAATTAGAGAATATTATTAAACACAAAAAGATATCCAACAGTGTATATAGAGGTGTATTTAAAAGATTTAGGCTTTAAGAAACAGGCAGTGAATAGAATATACAAATATGCGATGTATAAACTATGTTCACAATAAGAAATATACTCAGTGGCGACCAGTTTTTGATTGGGCTGCAGCCAGGCAACACCCGTTTGTCATCTCTACCCAGTCCATTATCTGAATACTTGCCATGTAGTATTGCCACTCCCATGCGCACAAGGCGGCCACCGAATAAATGTTTTCGTATTGTGAACAAAGAATAGTGGGTTTGAATGTTAATGAAAATTTAATCCCAGCAGATAAAAATTGTAATTTATGAAATATTGTGATTTGTGAAAGCATTCAAGCCAAAGTTAAAAATATCATTTAAATTTAAATGATAAAAATGATTAAGTGAAGAAATAAAATAATAGTTAAAACTTAGAACACAAAATGACATAAAATAAAACATGCTAGATAAATGTTTGAATCTATACTCTATTCAGAATAAGAACAGACCAACATTGCTTATCGCTAATATCTTTCATACTATAAATAAGCTTTCGACATTACTAAGCCCCTGGCAGCAGATTCATTAATTGCTGGTAATGATAATAAAGAATAATTGTGAGCTGTTATCCATCTGCTGCTGAGACGGCAGCAACAGTTGGTTATTACGAGTAGGACAAACATGTTGGGTCTTAGTGGGGATGATACGTGAACAATGACAAGTTTTCGTTCATCGGTTGGTCATTATTATTCTGAATAGGCTATAATTGTTAGTTAAAATAATAGTATATCATAATATGAACCATCAATGTGCTTTGAAAGATTATTTTATCTAACACAATATATTTAACCAAATATGTGTATTTATCCCCAACCTGGACTATGAAAACACCCTACCCTCATTAGTTGTCCTATTAATAAACAACGGCGGTCAGAAAAATATGTTCTCAACCTCTGAATTAAGCACACTCGCATACAAATATTCAAGGTTGGAATAACATCTGGTGCAACATTGTCACTTAAAGATAATTTATTGGACAGAAAAAGTGTATACATTTGAAAATAAAAATAATAGTTTGGTCACTGAAGTAAGTACTTTCTGATGTAGCCATTTTTAATTGAACAAATAGTTTTATTGTTAAGTTATAAGTGCTGTAACTTATGACATTACATAAATAAAAAAATTAAATAAAATGGCTGAACATTTTGCAACACTTTTTTGATTTTAGTTTTTAAAAACCAATACATTTAATATTAACATATTATAGACTATTATTTAAGGTAGGTATCACATAAAATGGATTTACGCAGGTCAAGATTACACACACAGAGCTTATCCATAAGTGTTATTTTTATAATACATTTACCCACTGCCAATTGTATACTGCTGTCTAATGTTTATATTTACATGTTTAATAAGTTCAATAAATATTATATACGCACAACATTCAATCATAAGTGACCAATATTCAAATGTTAAAATAGTCGGATGAGAGCCATGACCAAAAATATTTGTACAGTTGATATTATGGCTAATGCCTAAGGTTAGTTAAGATCCAGAACATAAGAAAAAGTATATTTAACTGGGCTGATGTAAATGGTTCTAAAAGTGTTGCATCCTACAGAAATCAATATGAACAAAAGTGATGTTGTTTTTAGGACAAAGTTGAGCATAGGACATTTATTGTTGTCTTATAATATTATAATCTATAAATGGTAATAATTTTTGAAATCAATTTTAAACACTATTTTGTTGCAAAATCACTTTATAATTAATATTAAATAACTCTCAGTAAAATAAAAAACCTAAAAATAGTTAGAACCTCTTATTTTGGAAGTAGCATATTATTAAAAATACATCAAATATTTGAGGAAATAATAAAATTAAAAAAATATTTTATATTATTTATTCATGTTTTACTATTTAGATAAGAATAAAAAAAATTGAGAATGCCCTATGTTATATATGGCTTCCATAATTACAGTTAGTAGCATATTTTGGTAGATGTCAATGCATTTTTACCATAATTTTTCATAGGGCTGTTCGATTATTTTGATTAATCAAAATTTACTCCTATTAATCGATTTAATCGATTATTTTACGCATAAAAAAAAAAACGATTAATCGTAATATTGATTAATTGGTTATTAATCGATTAATCGAATATCGGATAAATCGATTAATCGAATATCGGATATTAATCGAATATCGACTAATCTTCATTTCGATTAATAAAATTGTTTATTTGAAATATACAAGAATAAATTAATAAACTATTTTTATAGCCATTTCCTGCCGTTCCTGATATTGGTTATTTTTGTATCTTCTATTATGATTTATCAATGATTTGAAATAGACGACGTTATATAAAATTAAAATGGTGCTATATTTAGCCTTTAGCCATCAAAAAAACATTTTATTTATATTTGATCTGTTATCACTTATCTGTACTGGGTCTGGGTTTATTACTTTGTTAGTAATTACTAATTACTAATACTAATTACTAATTAGTATTAGTGTATTAGTGTATTACTATTACACATTTACACCACGGGCCACGGCCACTCGCCACTCACCATTCGCGCGACCGTTCTCTCTTTAGTTTACTCTCGTTTAGTCAAAGCCCTTTGGTATTTTCTAACCTAACCAGCATTCGACCTCCGGCTTAAGCGGTTCAAATTTAAATGTAATCTTGTATTCTTGTCTGTCTAGAATAAATCTTATGTCCTTGAAACATAGAAAGCTAACTTACGCCTTAATTAAGAAATGTACTTTTTTAATATTGGTACAAGAACAATTTGTGGAAGTATTAATTACACAAAATCTGAAGAATCTTTATGGATGCTTAGAATGCTTAGAATCAGTAGGCCAGTATAGTAAGTCGACAAGATCTAATAAAAATAATAAAATCATATTCTTTTCAATGTATTTTTGCAAAATTTAGTTTTTTAAGTAGTAACTCTTGATTATTATTTAATAGTGCTAAGTGCTAACTGCTAATACTTTCAAAAGCTTTTATAGTTTTATTTTTATGTCATAAATCTATTAATCAAATCAGGATATTTTAGTACTTTATATTCGGTTATGACTCAAGACTTAATAAAATTGCACTGTTAACTTATTAATAAATTAATTACTCAATTACTTCTTGATTAAATTATAAATTGATTGTTGCAATTAATCGATTAATCGTTAATTCAATTAATCGATTAATCGTTAAATCGATTAATCGGTTAATCGCGATTCCGATTAATCGGTTAATCGCAATTCCGATTAATCAGTTAATCGCGATTCTGATTAATCCGTTGATTAATCATTTTTCAATTAATCGATTTTTTCAATTAATTGTGCATGATCATAATCGATTCCCCCCAAAAATAATCGAACAGCCCTAATTTTTCACCCCAGCTGGCTGTTTTTCGTATCTTTTCTCTGATGTCCAAGGGGTTATATTGAACATGCTCTAACAGGTACATATTATTTTTACGACCCGCGAGTTATATTGCAACTGTCGGCTTGGTGATGGGTTCTCAATCCAAGTAGGGTAATATACACACAACATATTTTAAACATATTTATGAAAATGGGAAAAAGGAATTTAAGACAATTAAAACTTGATTGTGCACCGTTAAATATGAATATACATTTTAAAGTCTGAATAGAATAGATAAAACATAAGTAGTTTAGAATATAATAACAAAAATTAATTCTTTATATATTTCTATAATATTGTGTTGTAATATATTCAAAACTAAAATTATCATTTAACCACTCCATGCACTCAATACATACCTGAAATATATTCCATATATGAAGTGGTTATAACCAACGGGTAGTTGAATCAGATGAATTTGGATAATTAACCATCACTATGTTTCAGATATGAAACATGGACCATGGATAACACCATTCATCATATTCAAATTTATAATTTACTAACAGTATTGTTTTAATGTACTGAAAACCAGATGGGGACTTTTCTAAAGCCAGGAATAGAGCTATGCATATGTGTATAAATTATTTAAATTTAAAATTGAACTTACGTAATATAATGTAAATCATCAGTGAAATTGCTGACCATCATCAGAATTAAAGTGCGTGTAGTAACCAATGATGTAACAGCAGGACTTGCATATGTGGTAATCAATGGACCTAAGTTTTCTAAAGCTGTCTGCCGCACAAATTTACAACTGTCACTAAGTAATCGTCCAGCTGCATCAGTTATAGGCCCTCGTCTTAAAGCATCATCACAGCATACCGATAATGGAGTAATAATGTCAGCACATGTTTTCCGAATAGTGCCCACACGATCATTACACATCTCAAAATAACGAGGCAACTATATATATATATAAAAAAAAAAATAAAGGTAATTAAAAACACAAAAAAGAGTTTAGAATGATCAAACCAAAAAACTATATAGCTTACCAATACTTTAGTTTTATGGTCCATATCCAATGCATGGCCAAGTTCAGGAAAACTTAATAAAGCAGCGAGTCTGACGTAAATACAATCACTATGGCTTTTGTTGATTAAGAATGGCAACACAGTTTTGCACAGCACATTGTCATTTATTCTAAGGACAATTTTTCCTACTAACTGATAAAAAAAAAAAAAAAAAAAAAATGTAGTATAGCCTTAAATAGATTTTGTTTTAAATTTAAAATAATTTATAATGAAAATATATCTTTATATAAATGTGAACAAAGTAATAATAATTCTGAACAAAAAAAGATATAGATTGTAGAAATTGCAGCGCTCATACAAAGCTGGCTGTGATACGATATTAATTGAATTTAAAATGAAAACCAGAACGTGTCACAACCACTTTGACGAGAACCATAATTCCTCAGTTATCAATGAAATGAATGTGGCTCCATGAAGAAATCTCAACTCGTAACGCTCATCAAAGCTGGCTGTGATATGACTCAATATATCAACATTTCACAGTAACTTTGTGAGCATCTCAAGCCAATGAGTTGTTGATTTGAAGACTACGATTAGCCGCCAAAATTGTCAAAAACGGCTGTGATATGAATATTAATATCAACACGTCACATCCGATTTGACCATTTGGACGCCTTCGAATTATTATCATACTGCAATAGTCAATACATTTTTGTTTATTATATTAGTGTTTACTCTGGTAATAATTTAATTGTAAATAAGACAAATATTGTAACTTACAAATAAAAATAAGTTTTTAATGCTAACACATACATACATAGTAACACTTTATTTTATATTACTAATATAAAAGAGCTGCAATTTATTTTTTGATTAAGACTAAGATTAAGAATTAAACAATAAATACTACTACATAATCATATTCATTTTTTTGATTATTACTATTCATAGGCTTCTCTACAGAATTTATAAGTCCATATCAACAATGCATATTTATATAAAAATTAAAAATATAAACTAAAAATGTGTATAAATTATTTTAAACAATGTTAATGAATTAAAATTGTAAACACAAACAATACAATTCAAATACTAATCGTCGAAGATATTTATGGCCGATCAGTCGATTATACCACACACATCGGCTCATCAAAGTGGCTGTGATATGAACAGTAAAAAAAAACACTTCACATCCATTTTGACGGCCAATGTTGGGCATTAGGTAGATTTGAAACGGTTGACCAGTATCGATCCGGTGCTCATCAAAGCTGGCTGTGATAGTCAAAGAAAATGAACACTCTACGACAGCCCGCTTTGACGGCAACAGATCGACTCCAAAGGCAAACAAATTTGCTGTCGTTTAAAATCGATGCAACATGAAAGACAAGATAGTGAGATGATCTTAAATATACCACATCTCACTACCCATGTCTTTCAACAGGCAACGATCACATTTTCAAAACATCATTTTTCTTAAAATATAACTTTAAATTTAAGTATTTTGTTTGTACAGATATAAAAAAAGAAAGAATCACAATTATTTACCGTAACAATATTATTTTGTACATGGAGATCATCTGTGGAATTGGCTGCTAATATAAGTGCTGGACACACAATGTCTTCAACAGTCTTGTTGTTGATCACACCTTTACTTATAATGTAAGTGAGAACCATCTGAGCTCGCATTATTACCTATTCCAAGAAAAATATTATAATAATATAATTTTAAGAGGTTATATTAATGTACCTGTTCTGCTGGGTCAGATAATGCTTTGATAATAGCTGGGAGTAAGAAAGAATGTATGTAAGGTCTGAGGTTCTCGTGTTGGTGAAAAACCGTGCATAAATAACCAACAGTACTGACCGTGTCGAACCGCATCAACTTGTCTGGAATAATATATTAGGTTTATTTGTTTAAACAATTTTAATTTGAAATTGAGTAGATATATTTCAAAAACATAAAACACCTAAAATACTTATAAAATAAAATACCTTCGTCTTTGGTCATCTTTTCTATCACAGTGAGTATGTCTGGAATCATTTCTAAATGATCCTTTATCACAAATTTCATACAGCATGATATATATTTTGGTGTGGTATTCCTGTAAACAAACAATTATGAAATAATTATGATTTAAAAAAAAAACATTAAAAAAGTAGCTTCATGAAATCATAAGTTATTATATACAAATGAGTCATACAGAAATTAGTCACTGCAATTTCTTGATTATAAATTCAAATTTGTCATGTGTCAAATGCAGCTTAATTAGGTAATGTTTCAATGAAGACATAATCAACCATTCAAGTAATTCTAAAAATTAATTTTTCAAATTAAAACTTCATAGAAGTATTTGAATCTAAACTTTCAAAATAATTTCAATGTATAATATACACCTAGGTTTCAGGTGAGAGTATCATATTATACCCGCATTATATTTATATGGAATTCTACAATTTTACATTGAAATTACTCTTTAAAATATTAAATCGTTGATACATATACTTAAATAAAAACAGGCATTATATTATACCCAATACTTAATATTTGAATAATCAGTGTTCACAAATTGAAAACAGTCAAAATTGATTCCAAAAATATTATTTTAATAATAAACGTAGTTTAAATACCTACCTAATATTTTTTAAATTTATTTTTATTTTTATTAGAGAATATACAATCTATACCCAAAGGAATAATAAGAATATGTGCTACATTATATTTTTAAAAAAACATGAATAGGGTGAGGGAAGAAACCATCCAGTGATCGCACTTCTTTTTGCTTAAATATATGTGACACTATATATATTTTTTTTTCGTTACCTATTCATTAAGATGTCTGCACCAGTTTATAAAATATATATAAACATATAGGTCCCAAGTTCACAATATCAGAATATGTGCATAACAATAACAATAAAAATTTTATTTGAGTCAAAATTGTTTTATTTTTAAATACCTATAGTTTTATGTAATTAATTTTTTTTTTTTTTTTATTAGCTATTAGTATACAACTATGAATATGTAATTAATTATTTAAGATAATTGGTTGAAAATTTGTAGGGAAAATTATCAAACCTAAAATTCATACCACTTGCATGAAATCAATCATTTTGGAAGTTATAAATATTTTATTCATTTAAATTTTAAAATGTAGAGATACTTATTCTATTAGGTAACTAGGTATGTAAAATATAATTTATGTTCGTAAATATAAGGTATTGAATTAAAAAGTAAGAAACGATAACTTAAAGTAATAAATAAGTTCTTAATAATTTGATTCTTCTACTTTGTTTCACTCTCAAAACTGTTAACATAAGCAAATAAAATGTTATGAATTGAGAAAACGACAATTTTAAATTTTGGTTTACTTCCAGATAAATTTGAATTAATAAAAAACAACGAAGAGCATTTGTTTACATATAAAAGAAATGTAAAATATGAAACATGTCAATTTCAAAACGGATATTTCAAAACTCCTTCCAACATTATGATCAATCGGGGCGGAAATACATTTTCGATTCCGTTGTTAACGCGTCATTTCAACCGGTGGGCGTTGTTGATGGCCAAACTATAAAATGAGTAATGACGTATGGTCGATATAAATAAAATACATGTTACGTATGAAAATGAAAATGTTTGAAATGAGAAACGAGTAACGACGAACACCGATTGATAAAATATGAATCATCGGTAAACATTAACGACACCCCATGTGTTAGGGTCAAAACCACAATACTATTAATATTTTTATCGATCGGAAATCGGAATAGGACGATATTTTCATCAATATCACATCTTAAATAATAACCAGGGAAATTAGTACGTAGTCCGATCATTTTAACACAGCCTAACGTATAAGAAATTAAATGTATTTTTAAGAATAAGTTTTAAAAAACAGTAGGTATTTATCAATTTAACAGGCTCATACTAAGCGTCACATTAGTTTTGAGTTATAATGGGAAAAGTCCAAGGAAGTGTAAAAATGTTTTTGACAAAGTATAGATACAAATAATTAAAAAGAAAACTAAAGCTATTTAAAATGTTTAAATATTATATCGACCGGATTATTCACCATGAATATTTTTGGGTATATGAAGACCAGGAGGGATCCGCGAGTGAAAGGGAAAAAATATAATAATATAATGTCACGGCGGCAGCGTTTACATTTTTAGGGTGTGGTGGGCGTTCTAAACATAATAATAAAAACAACGCGTAGAAACAGGGGTTGAGATATGTAATGTGTGTGTGCGGTACGTTCCCGATCGTAACAATTCTCTCTCACGTCGACTACAACACACACTCAGTCCAAACGTACGCAGCACACACACGCACAGGACTACCAACCAACCCGCACTGGAAAAGGGGAAAGCGAGCCCGCGAGTGCAACGCGGTGCACATTTGAACCGAATTACATCAACAAAAGGGCAGCACTTCGCCGGTGATTATTCCACCATAAACCCATGCTGGGAGACGAAGGAGGGGCATAAGAGGACGTGCCGCCGACGGGTCGGTTCAAGGTCAACGGCTCTAAATTAAACGCAGACGATAGGAGTATAGGATGATTATTATTTCCAAGTCATCGCCGGAGACGTGCCTCTGCCGCGTAAAGATATTAGTTTAAACGGAAAAATCGTGCACGTGGTTTATTTATTTTATGTAATAATAATTGATCATCAGCTAACGTAGATGACAATGCTGTCATTGTATGTGAGTATTGTGTGATAAAAAAAATGTTAAGGCACACACGACGTTATTTGACGAGTGCGTATATACTACATAATGTCCGTAGACTGTCTACACGCGCGTCGTCTAAGCGTCGACCACACACGCACGATTTTCAAGTTCAAAATCGCAGCACTATTCATGCTTGCGCACGGCCGTTAGAGATATTGGCGATTGTGATATCTGCTGCGCGCGCATATTGTCGAAAATAAAATGCTTCCACCGTAAAACTGTTATAGCTTTGTAGTAATAAATACGTAGTGGTAGTACTCGCATTTACGAGTACGGAACAAGACGACGACGATAAACTGTCTGTCCGTCCGTCCGTCTTTATGACCAAAATATATAAGGGATGGTTTCAGAGGTCAAATAAACGGGTACGGATGATAATGATGATGATGATGACGACTATAATAATAATAAAGTCGTCGGGCGTTGTCGTAAAACGTCCCCGTCGATAATAATAGTAGTCGGTAGTCACTATTCACTACCGGCGGGATGACACTGACACACGGAATAACCGCGCGATCGATAGTTATTTTTCTCCCTCCAATAGCACGTCGCCACCGTTGCCACTGGTCCCCGCCACCGACAACCCAAACGTACTACTACAACCATGACCACACGAGGCCGTCGTACTGTCGTAGTACACGAGCTTTCAGCGTGGGCAACTCTCCGCGGTAACCACCTAACGTGAACGGACGGCAATATAGTTTTCGATCGACACCGACCAAGTGGCTGGTAGATTCTCTAAGAATTACGGACATATTTTTGAGTTTTATTTTTCTCTAAAATTATTATTATTTTTTAAATGTGTTGCTGGCTAAGCAAACCACGTGGTGAGACGACGATGTTTTTCGCTTCGGACGCAATCCGAGTGACAGTGGCGACGCCGCGGAACACTGCAGGAATGTTGTGTGCGAGTACGACTGGCCATCTGCGCGGCGCGCCAAGAGGATAAAAATGTTTTGTTTCAAAAAATAACGCGCGCGCCGCAAGCAACATACTTCCGGCGGCAGCTGCGGTAGTCTGAGCATTCGGACGATTTTCCATCCGGTTCTCGCGCGACACACGTATAATATAATTGTTTTCCCCTCAAACTGTGGCGGTAAGCGATGAAAAGGTCAAATCCGTCTGCGGCCACAGCGTGTAACACATGTGTGCGAGTTAGTCCCCCTCCACATCACTATTTTCATGTGTGCAACGAGCACGCACGCACATGCATACACATTACACACACACACGCACATAAATACGGCGATTCATTCATGAGGACAAACGATGAGGTGCGTTTTAGAAGGGGTCAGGAACGCCGCCGCCGCCTCCTCCGTTTGGTTACTGGCTACAGCTCACCGTCACAACAAACGAGCGGGTTCATTGTCGGCTGGTCGGGTTAGTTACTGCGTAGAAAAAAGTTAACAGTCACTCGGCCGCATCGTATACCAACAACACACACGTCCCGGCCGAACACCGTGATGGAAATGACTGGAACGTAATGGAATTGCTATACGAAAGCCTCGTGTGCGGATGTAACCGTATCGCGAAATTACACTACTATATAGAAAGACACAAAGCCGGGAACCGAGAGTGGGGCGAGGAGAAAAACGCGGGAAACACGATGCCCGAAGTATGTGAATAAAAAGTCGACTCCTTACCTTGCCGGACACGGCCGTGTTGATTATCGCGCGATCACCCATCGCCCTCTGCAACTGGTCCTGAAGCAAGTTCATCTGAGTAAGGAAAATCGAAATAACGATACACACGAAACAGACCGATATCTTTAACAGTACCAGGCAGTACGGATAATAATTTAACAATTTGATAAAACGAAACATTTTTTTTTTGAACTAAATATATGACCAAAAACTGATTATAGTAAATACACTCAAGACTTATCGGTGTAAAACACGCGTGTACCGCAGCACACGGCGGTTTAGATCGCGCGCGCGCGCGCAGAGAAAGCGAAAAGGCGGCGCAACGAAACGGCACACACACACGGTCCGCGCGGACGGCACACACTACACTACAACTGCGACGCTATATGGCGGTGGTCGTGTGAACAACGAAGGCCGGCGGCGGCGGAGCGTACCGCCAGAAAGAGAAATGAGAAAGCGACCGACGCACACACACTCGCAGTGGAATGCGCGCACGCTCACGTGAACGTGTACAAATAAAAAAAAACTGTGCGACGCTACTATGGCCGGTCGTACTTGTGCGTGCGTGAGCTCGGCGGCAGTTACGGGGGGGAAAGAAAAAAACCGAACCGAACCAAACTAAACGAAATAAAAATATAAACGGGGACCGGGTCCAGTGGGACCAACGACGGGTATCCGGTGCGACCGCAGTGCCGCCAACGTGCGACGGACGGGAGGCGACGATTTAGTGCGCATGCGCAAGAGAGAGACCGGCGAATACGTAACCGAGTATCTAACGTCAAAATAAACACCGGTCGCGTACGCGGGGCGGGGCCGCCCTTTTCAGCCGGTCAATGATAAACGGCGTGCGTGCAAAAACGCCCGGAAAAATAAGGGCGGCCGTCGCCCAACGCGCTTTCTCCGCCGTGGAACGCTTTCGGCGGCACGCGTGCGGGGGAAATCGATTATTGGCACGCGCCGACCGTGAAGAACACACCACGGACGGGATGCGCGCGTCTGCGTTCATCGGAGGGACTCGCGCGCTGGTAGGTAGTCGTGTTTTCCCCGTCCGGCCCAGCGACAAATCATTCGTGCGCGCCAAAGCTGATCCTCTACTCTTTCATATTACTATCGTCCGTACTACTATAGTGTGTACGACACACGCCGCTCGTACGCATAGTAAAGACGCACCACCACACGGTCGACTCGCGGGGTTTTTTCATTCATTTAATTTTGTATGTTATTTTATTTATATTTTTTATCAACGTCGTTCTCACACGGTCGTCGTCCGTCGTTTTGGTCAGGTCGGTTCTTTTAATCAGAGTACGTTTAAACTAATCACGCACGCGGGGCTTTTGCGTGTATAGAACGTGCGGCGCCTCGTTTTGGCAGATTTCCAAAATCAGACAACGACGCATTTTTAATTTTTATTCGTTACGAATCAAAAATGCATTCAACGCCAGCGCGTGTCGCCGAGAAACTAAAATTTAAATATTTAAAAAAACCTCATGTTTGCAAAATGTTATGGGTATTATATTATTATAGTAACCATTATATAAAAATTAATATCGCATATTCATAATAACAATAATGGTTTTGAGCAGTACAATACATCAATCGTTAATGATTCAAACTTAATAATTTAAGTAATGATTATACTAGAGTTGATTGACCAATCAGTTAACGACGATGCGAATATTACTGTGCAATTCTTTTTTTTTTATCAAAGAATCATGAGTAAAATAACGAGAATAATCGTACAAATCACGTATCTAAAATAATACTAGTAAAAGTAGGTACAATAAACACAATAATAATTATTTTTAAAACATAAAATACCCAGTTTATAAGGAAACTGATGATTCTTCATTAATACTTGAAATAAAGTACACACGTTTAAAAAACAAAATTCAGTTTAAAATAAAAAAAGAATTTAAATAAATAAAAATACACATTTTCCTTTGTTTGGAGGGTTTACCATTGATGATTGGATTTTTTTATAAACAAAATAGATTGACAAAAGTAAAAACAAAAAAAAGTATCTCCAAAATATTTTGAAACAAACATAACTAGCAGGTAGTATTTTATTTGAAAGATATTATATGCTGTTTTAAAAATATTTATTTGCATCAAAAATATTTTGTAAAATGTATCACAAATTCACAAAGCATATTACAGTGCTGTTTTTGTTTAGCAAAATTTCAATGACAGGTTAAGAAACTTGAGAATGATTTACTAAGTTGACCCTCAAGTACGCAAAATAAATTAGTCTGTAAACAATACCTGGAGTTATTGGAAGACTATATTCGAGATTCTTAAACTAAGCTACTTGACTCCAAAAATATTTGGAACAAGGATTAAAAAAAAAAACATTAAAATCCGGATTCAACAACCAGTTATTGGCTTTAAGATAATGAATAGGCGCGATTTTATTATTTTATATGTATTATTTTTCAAACGGTGTTTTTTTTTTTTTTGCAATATTATATACACAAGTTCCTGTATTTGACTGTTGAATTTATTTATTTAAACAAACAAAAAATAATAATAATAACAATATATATTAGCAATCGCCGAATACCTAAAAAATGCGTTTATTTTGTGTCCGCCATGAAGTCGCCAATTTAAACAATAGTTATTTTTAAAAGGAAAAATAAGTTCATTACAGACTCTGCAGAAATTTTATTTCTGTTTAGCTGTTATGCTATGACGTATTGACCTACTTTATTTATATGCCAAATGATGCGAAGACTACTGACACACTAGTCAAACAAAGTTTATAATTCCCCGAATTCGTTCTTCGCACCTGCATGGTCAACACCAATCATCACGATACGTAATAATATATGTAATAAATTTATATATGCTTGGTACTAGTTATATATTCTTACTGATATGTACATAATATACGAGTATGACTGTACTAGTGTACACCAACCAATTATTATACTAAGCCGTTTTAGTATACTAGTTAGCATACTATGTTATTGCCAATGTTAACTCAATAGTTTTAATAGAATTAATTTTAGAAACACTACCATTAACATATTATTTACCATAACCCACTATTACATTTTACCCTGCATTAGTTGGATTCAAAATTTCAAAAAATGTCTTATAATTGAGATATGTGCTTGATATTTGGATCAAATAAAACAAATATGAATGGGAAAAAATAACGCTGTTTAAAATATTTTTATATGAATGTCGTTTCATTTAAAAACTAAATATAATAGTTTTAAAATAGGTCTTTCGAATAATTTAATTTTATTGTTTTAAATCGTAATGTAGCGGACGTTAAATGTGCAAAGGAATAAAGCGGCAATAGTACCAGACAGGAAGTAAGAGTTGATGTGTCTAGCTATTTATAGAATGGCCAGGCACACACTGTTCAGTTCGAAATGAGGTACCATATGACCAACACACTCTGATCGTATAATTACAATATGCTAACAACCACATGCCATGGGAATTATTGCGAAGAAGTTAAATTTTAGATATGTATTAATCACAAGTGGAAATTTCGAATTTTTTTAATTAGCGAAATTTCTCATCCGACAGCGGGTCTCGGCCATTGGCAACGGGTAAAATTCTGCGATTTTATTTTAGCCCATTATAAAGGTATGGTATATTTGACTGTCTGGCAATAACAGTAGCCAGTTGGCACGAATAGTAGATTTTAAATTTAGACCACGGCTACAAAGACCCCCATGATTATTCTTCGTGTACAACTACTCAAAACTTCGCAGCAAATGGAAGAAAATGTCTAGAAACTACGTAATTGCATGAACGTGATGCAGCACGAGAGCAGAGAGGATACGATAGGGTCGAAAAAAAAGCAATATTTGTTTTTAACTCGAGGGGCGCAAACAGCTGCATTCTCGTGTACGTCTGGTTTCCAAGAATAGTAGCAACCCTCGATGAAAAAAAAGCCAGGTGGTTAGGAGGACTCACAGGACTAACCTCCTCCCCCCATCGGTCGCCCCGCCAATTTAATACATTCCAACGGTATACAGAGTGATCTCGATGTAAAGCCGTAGGTTGTGATAATTTGATGTTACCTGATTTCTTCAGCAGACGCGTTGTACATCTGCTTGACGGTTTCGCTGGGCATGTTATCACTGTGTTGGTTACCTGCGAGATCAAATATTTCCATAGACTCGTCTTCGCCGGCCCCGTCGCTATTCTGGATCATCAATCTCTCTATGCCAGCACCGACTGTAACGAAACAAACGGGCCAAATATAATACAAATGATAATATCCACAAATGTTCCTGTTTCCATTTTTTTAGTTAGAACATAAACGGTTGAGTTCGTCAAGAACTTCGTCTCGATACTCTAGATTTACCTAACAAACAATTGCATTTATTATTGTATTTTCTATTTTTATTATTTTTAACCCCCCGTATGCGTGATCACTGATCAGATGTACACAAACATACATCACACCACGTTTTGTGGACTCGATCAACGCAGCAGAGTTTGGGTGGTCAAACGAGTTTGCCGTGTGGTGATGAGCATGGCGCGCGGTGGAGCCAGACGACGAAGAGAGGCAGCCGGCTAGTCGAGCGACGTCTGCATGGTTCATTGATCGCCGAGGAAGCTACGAGCGCGCGCAATGCAACTACGGCGGCGGCGGCGCTTATACTCCGAAGACGCACAACCGCACCACGTGTCATTCACATGGGGCCGCCGCCGCCGCCTCGTCCAACCGTTGTCGCTAAGGGCGTCGTCGGCACTCAACAACGAACCCAAGAAGTTCGGGCCAAACACCAAAGGGGGAAAAATAATAACCCTATCCAAAATATTATCTTCCCACACACAATAATAAACACATATTTTCGGGGACGCATTCCTTTCGACCAATAATAGTAATAAAGTTATCGATAACACACACGCCACACCAACACCCCAAGCAAGGACCAGAAGCACAGCATCTAAGACGGCGGGTAAACAAGGGAAATGAATGCCAAGAATTTGTCCGACGGAAAACCGGTTTCGATTACTGTTAGTATATAAATATAATATTATGGTGTATGTAACAAATATACAACGCGGCAGTGGCGGCGATCGTCGATCCGTTGTGTGTCTCGTTTGTGTGTGCGACGTGCGTCGAGAATGGAGACCGAATCCGTCCAATCGGGGGGACGGCGTTATGCCTACTCGCACGAATCCCGCGATGTAAACAATGCTCGTCGGGCGTTATATATACATTTTTTTATGTTTGTATACACACGCTATAATATTATTATGGTCTCAAGCAACTATTTACACACTGCACGCATAAACATGAATAATATCAAACATTTGTTTTTTTTTTTATTTTTACATTTCCCCGTCTCAGAACAAGTCCAAAGTCCGGACTGTTTGAAGACAACATAAGCCTTGGATTAATGATTGAGAAAACGGTTTAAAGCAAAATCAAACACGTTACTACATGGCCCTCCTAGGACTC